CTCTTTCCTGCAAGAACCATCTTTCTGCTTCTTCAATAAACTGTAACATCTTCCCAAAGCAGTTGCCATGTTGCGTATTTATTCCTGGCTTGGATGAACCAGGATGAAGACTTTACTTCTGACAGTATTTTCAGAGTATCTTATGCAAACCAACCATAGAATAGATTATCTGAATGGGCACAGAACAAAAATGGTTTGAGTCTTAAAAAAGAGCAGGTGGAAAGAATAGGTGGTGACAAATAATACAAGTCAAAAGGGGACATAAATGAGAGAGCATATGAATAGTGGGAGAAACATATATATAATACATAGATGGCATTATAATGGAAGACAGATTTTTTTATAGTACCATTCATGATTAAAGAGGTTAAAAGAAAGCTGCTTGAAAGCATTATTTTGCAAGATATATTTCCTCTTACTGGGCAAGTTGCAATACATTTCTATAGTTAATTTCTCTATAGAGGACCTGTTTGTAGGTCAATTATATAAGTATTCTCAATTTTTCTGTGATGGAAAACAATCCTTTGTAAAGTAAAGTTAAAATAGAGAGCACTGTAAGGATCTCTTCCTTCCTGGAGGAAGAAAGGAAAAAGCCAAAATTAGACCTATGCTCTATACAGATTTCTTATATAAAGTTACTTTATTCGGAGACCACCTCAGCCTCTGAGAAAATGATCTTTCTAGAAAACTGTCACTGCAATAGCTTACTTTTGTTAACTATGGAGATCAAGTAATGCCAAGCTCTGCTTAAAGAGAAGAGGCAAATTCAGGCTCTGAATTTGTATGACAAATTCCTACAGAAATACAAAGCATGAAACCAAAGGACTAGCATATCAATGTCATACAACAGTCTGTAAAATGAGGGAATAAGCAATATTGTGCCAATATCTATATCCTGTATTGTGAAACTTGGCCACTCCAATAAAAGATAAAATTTAGAATTTGTTATGCAATGGATTATAACTTTTTTAAAAATAAAACATAGCAAAAAAAGTGATAGAAAAATGTGATCCAAAAGAAATACTCTCAAATATCAACTGCCATAGTCAAAAATTGTGATCTCAAATTGAACACAAAAGGCTGGGAGAAAAATATGAATATGGAAAATAATAAATAACAAAACAAAATATAATGTATAGTGCTTGTTTATTGGCTCACATTAAAGGACATAGGGAAAGGATTCCAATGATTCTTTTTTCAGTATTCTGTTCATTTGAATATATAATATTAGTTTATTAAAAACATAACCAAAGCCCTCCAAAACATCTTAAATAAACCAGAAGTCCCAGGAGCCAAAACAAAAAACAAACAAAAAAACCCCAGGAATAATCTACAACATATAGTGTAAAGCCTGTAACAGCCACCATGTAGTCTAAAGATAAATATGCAGTATTGAAAACCACAGCTCTAAATAAGCCTTTTTCATTTCCTCTCAGTAGTGAAACCGAGATATTTTTTTTGCCTATCAGTTAAACCTCATATGACTTTTTCCCCTTTCATATCTTCAATCAACAACTTCCCTTGCCAGCTATTTTATTCACAACATATTGGTTAAGATAGCATTCACAATTTCATCTTTTTATTTGGATTACATTATTTCCAAATAATTATATTCATAATTACTGCTATATATTTCTAAGCTAAGTGTCATTCATAGTATCTGATACATGAAGAATCAAGCATCTCCTCATTCCAACCAATCATATTATAATATATAATTAATAGGTGCTAAAATATAGCAATTCACACTTCATAAAGCCAGCTGAATTTTACAAATTGATGCAAGGTTCTGAGTTGCTATATCTCTTTATTAAAAAAAATAGTTGCGGAAACAAAGGGAAGGAAAAGAGATAAAAAATGATTTCATGGGACAATGTAATCTAGTACAGATATGGCTCTTATACTGATTACATTTTTCCCTGTCCTGTTCACCTCTTTTTTCCTAACTATTTTGTTCAATGGGGAAACTTGCAAAGTAGCAATGGCTTTGTAACATTTCATTTGGCCTAAAATAAATTGACCTTTGTAGATTTAGTTTCTAGTGGCCAACACAGCTACAATTAATTTTTAACTCATATTGTGATTTTCAGATGAAACTATGTAAAGCATCATTGTTTTTCAATCCATCAACATCAGGTTTAAACTCCTGATGTTGGTCTTTGGAATTAGATTATATCTGTTTCAGGAACTGATCCCTTAATTCTGTCTCAGAAATAAATCTATGCCCCATGTTCACAAATCCCTTATTCGTATTCTCAACCCACATTGCACTGCAGTTCATCTCCAAATACTATGCAATTTATAAATATGAAATTGCTTCTGCACAAACAGAAAAGCAGAAAGGCACTTTCTCATTTTCTACAATTTAGATGCATCTGTTCTAGACTTGGACAACCATATCTATTGCTGCCTCTAAGTGGCCTTTCCATCTTGGCTGAAAGTAGATATCCCCAACTATTGGTGCTTTTTAATCTTGGCAAAAGATAGACTGGCTCTGATCTAATCCTCTTCAGATTATTCGAACTATGTTAATTCCTACCTTTTCAAACCATTCCAAGTGACACTTTGCTCATTAAGAATGGCATTTCTTAGAAAATAGAAAGGATATGAAATTCCCTTTGCATGTTTATCACAAGAAAAAGTACAATATCAAATAATTAAAATAAAAGTAACATAAGCTTTATATGAAGCTCCTTTCTGAATGTTTATATAGTATTTTATAGTATAATATTTGTATAGTATAGTATTATTTGTAGAAAGAAATCTATTTCCTATCTAATAATATGACTATATTCATACAGCACAGTAAGCCATTGTTTGTTCAAATATGATATCCATAATGCCTGAATATACTCACAGCATAGCACACCAAACATCTTTTGATATGCTGTATAAATTCAGATTCTAAGGGTATCTATAAATTAGTTAGTAGATATTAAGTTTTTCTTTAAACAAGTAATTTAAATAAACAATGTATTATTTATAACTGAGGCTAAACATTTTCTTAACTTTGTATTCCATAATTCATTCAAAAATATATTTTTAAAATTAGCAAGCCAATGAGAAAACAGGATCAAAGTTTCCTAAGTCTTTACTTTTCAATAATATACAGAAAACCATCCTGCAAAATAATAAACCATGCATGACAAACTAAATATGATAAATAATATGCAGGTAAATAAAAAAGTTGAACCTAAATTTCAAATTATAAACAAAGGAGTGCATTTAGAGGAATGGGCTATTTCCAGCATGTTGCCTGATAAACTATTTTCTGAATTAAAAGGAGTTGGTTTTCAGTTAATTCAGAAGCATATATCCAGTTATAGCATCATTTTACTTCACATCACATTCCACACTATTTTTTATTCAATTTTATTGCAAGGTTTATTTATTTCCACAACACATGTGTTTGGCATAGTTTCACAATATGGAGCCGTGGTGGTACAGTGGTTAGAATACAGTAATTCAGAGTAACTCTGCCTACTGCCAGGAGTTCGATCCTGACTGGCTGAAAGTTGATTCAGCCTTCCATCCTTCCCAGGTTGTAAAATAAGGACTCAGACTGTTGGAGGCAATATGCTGACACTGTAAACCACTTAGAGAGAGTTTTAAAGCACTATGAAACAATATATAAGTGCTATTATTATTGCTATGCTAATTCATGTTAATAAAGTAAACCCTGGTTTAGTGAACCATGTGGGTCAACATGACACTCTGAATATAAACTAGTAACTTGGACACTAGACTAAAATGTAGCTATCTGGTTTGTATTTCAATGCATAGTGTAAACCTAGACAATATAAACACTGTAACCCATGAATAGATGTGTTGGGCAAATACAGCTTTTATTCTGTGTCTGTTTCATTTCTTTTACTTCACAAAAGGGAATAAACGATTTTATTTTTGGTAAGACAAAATCTGTATTCAGAATTCATGTTTAAATGAATCAGTTTTTATTGAATAAACCCAATTGCATGGGTTCATATGATCAGTTCATAAACTGAACCAGAAAGTTACTTCAGTTCTTGAGTTTGCACAGCACACTAAGATGCAAGATAACAAATCATATTCTTGCATAGCACCAATACATTGGCACTGGAGAGAACCCAAAGGATCCAGAGATGAAAATATTGAATCAATATATCGACTCAGATGTTTTAAGTTTGCTAAGGGTATGCACGTAAGCGGCATTTCTACACAACATGAACACAGTTAAATTACTAGCTTAATCCTGGTAAATCGTAGCTCAAATTAATCTAAGCTACAAAATTCATTGAAGGATTTTGTGTCAGTTGCTCCTTCTCGCCCAATCTACCTTGAGGATTGCTACAAATAAATGATGGAGAAAGGAAGCATGCGATTTTAAGTGTCTTGAAAGTTTGACAGAAGGTAAATGCAATTTGTAAAAACATCCTCTACACTACAACATGTCGGCGTTAAGATAACCAAGCGAGGATTTCCAGCCAAATTAAAACATCACCGCGGCAGGACCTTGCTCCTTTCTCTACCAATTACCCCTTTTCTAAAGCCTTCTCCATATTGAACCTGCATTGCAATGCACTTGCTCGTTCTTTGCGGAAGAGAATACCGTTCTCCTTATCGTACCTGACCCCAACTGCCCTCGCGATTCACGGAGCCAACCAATTCCCGCAGAAACCACCCGCCCCGCCACTCGCTCGCAGGAAGAACGGGAGCAAAGGCAGACGCTGGCGCCAAGTCTGAACGGGTGGGCGGAATTGCACGAAGTCCACCCCAGTGATTGGGCTACGTCAGTTCCCCCCCCCCATCCCCGTGCGGGCTATATTTGAGCGCGGGCTGCTTCGGGATGGTACCTTGCCTGGGAGGGCGAACTTCAGCTGCAGCCTGCGGTTACAGCCACAAAGCCAGACCGTCTCCGGGACCGGGAGGCGAAGGCGAGACGGCGCTAGTTCCCGCCCCTTTCCACTCCCACCCGGGCGGTTCATTAGCAGGCAGCTCCGAGGGGTAGAGATAATTATTACCTCCACGGGATCAGGCTCCCGAGGCCAGGATGAGCCGCCTCCGAGCAAACTCTGGGCGACGCGCAGCGAAGACCCACGCAGTTCGTCTAACTCTGAGGAGTTTGTTGCTCGCTCGCTCGTTCTCTCGGCGACGGGGAGGCTCCTGTCCGCTCACAGTCGAGCTGGAGGAACAGATTCCCGCTTCGTCGCTCCGGCTCGAGCCGTATCATTTCGAATCTCCGGCAAACTTTGCTTTTCCCCCCTCCCACCCCACCGCCCGCTGCCCCTCTTGGCCCGGACCCTCCCGCTCAGCTCAGGCCGCCATTTTGCCGCGGGGCACGCCGGATAATCCGGCGGAATCCCCACGTAGCGGCGTGGTTGCATCATCACCAAAAAGAGCCGGAGAAAGCGAGAGGGAGGGGGAGGCTGCTCTGGCGTCGGGAGGGTTGCCATGGCATTGGGAAAATAGGGGGGGAGGGACACGAGGTGGTCCTTAGGCTTCTCTGCGGTGTCTGGGCTGCCCTTCTGCCGCGTGGTGTTCATCCCGAAGGAAACTCTCGAGTAATGGAAAGGGGCTTTTGAACGTGAGTAGGGCTGGAGCCAGAAGCTGCAATCCCTTGTACTCTGCAATAAAAAGGTGGCCCATCTGGGATGCACTATTAAACATTTTAAAGTAGTGAATTTCTCAAACCCGCAGGCACTCGTTGCCTTGGATGAATGAAGAAGTGAGTTTTCCGCAGAAGGTGACAAATTTAGTGGTGGGTGTGTTGCTGGGGGGGGGGGAGGCCTGGCGACTTTAAAAGATAACTATACTGAAGCCCGCTTTTTCACATGGATAAAATATTATGTGCCATCAAACTGAGGTCAGCTTTTAGCAATTGCATAGATTATCCCAAGGATAACCTTCCCCAAAATGGTACTTCAAATCTATCACCCAGTGGCTTTATTCACTGAATCCATCCACTTTTCACTCCTTATCTTGTTTACTTCCACCTTTTCCAGCAATATAGATTTATCCAGAAAACTGAGCCTTTGCATAATGTCCCCCAAATTTGAGCCTGTTCATTTATGCTTTAACTGAGAACTCTGGACTGATTTGTTAAATAATCGGATTTCTTTATTATTGTATTAGGACTTTCCCTAACACCAAAGTTCAAAAGTGTGTATAAAATATTACCATTTGGCAAAATACACACCCAGACACTTATAAAGACAAAATCATGTTGGGGAGGTAGATGATGAAAGATGCATTGTACCATTATAGTGCAACCTATAGCCTTTTTGGACTTATGAACAAGTTGATACAAATACAAAAGGATGGAGTTGGTAGGGAAATAACATGCTATCTTTTTGGCTTCATTCTGGTTAGGAACAAATATCTCAGGACTGTATTCATAGGCCGGAGATTTCAAATTGAAATTGTCAAGATTAGTTCACCCAAAACAAAAATCTTTCCATATCTTGATGCAAAATATCATAGCAAGTCAAAAACCTGGATTACCCAAGTATGCTATTAAACATGGTATATTACATTAAAATATTGAAACAGAGTTCCAAACAGAATTACAGAGTTCCAAAACAGAATTACAGAACATCTACAGAACATTTTGTTAATAACAAAAGGAACAATATTTGGTTTTATCCCGGGGTTCATGGTAATATTTCTTCAATATCATACTGTATCTAGGTTGGTATGAGATAGGAGCCCTGTATTATTAAGAGCTAGCTGGCCAAATCTTGCTTTCTGCTCTCTCCTTGCTAAGCAGAAAGATCTTCAGCTTTTTCTGAGTCATTTCCCCTTCCCTGCAAAGTTCATCCCTCTTTCATCCAACAGAGCAACATTCAGATACAGTCTTCCTCTTTAGCCATCTCCTTCTTTTCCTCAAGTAGGCCCAACCTGTTTCCTCTAGCCAAGCCACACTTTTCCTTTGCCTACAAAACCAGCACTGCCTCAGCAGCAACTCCTACCACTACGTGCAAGGTTGGATAGGTGTACGGTTCAGTGTGAAAGGCATTGAGATATTAAATGCATGATCCAACTAAAGAGGCTCTGAATTTGTCAGGCAACACTGCAGCCATACCATTCTTCTGGAGTCCCTCCTGTAGCCCAACCTTTTTATCAATATGGAGAACAGTGCCCTAGTTTCATAGGAAACAACTTCAGCGCTTACCAAATATTGTTGTGACCCAAAAATAGTTATTTGGAGCAGTTTGACCTCTGCTCAAAGCTATAATGTTTTTTGTTTGGCTTATGGTGTTGCACATACTGTACCAAATTCTAGGTGGCTTACAACCAAAGATTAAACAATAAAAATATTAAAATCAAATATTAACCTGACACAATCATTAAATTTGCAAATACAGTTCTCCACTAAGTCCTCTATCAATGTCACCTTATCCCAGGGCTTGGAGGGGGGGGGGAGCCATGTCAAGTGTTTTTTTCAGAAGGCTAAAAAGGGGGCCTGCCATGGAAAATTCCCATAAGATGACAATGTTTAAGGGGAGGGACAAGGAGTGTGCCCACCCTATCTGAACTGGTAGGACCAGCAAATGTGCTTAGGGAGATATGATTTCACAGTCTGGTCCAGTGCCATATAGGACTTTAAAAATAATAACCAGCACCTTGAATTTTACCCAGAACGAAACTGGGAGCCAGTACAGCTTGCAGAACTGGGTGTAATGTGGGTAAACATAGGAGCACCCATCACTGTGCATGCCATTACATTCTGGACCAGTTACAATTTTGGGTATCTTCAAGGCAGCCCCATGTAGAGGGTGTTGGAGTAGTCCAAACTGGAAGTGACCAAGGCATGAGTGATCCTGAACAAGCCTCCCAGTCCAGAAATTTATGCTTTTGCTTTACAAATAAGAAAATTGCAACAATACATATTCTAATATAATTATTTAAAATCAAAAAGTATATGTAAATTTATGCCATATTTTTCACAGGAATGCAAAAGAATGTATTATACCATTTTTATGGTAAAACTTAACTCTAAAAGATTTAGATTTCTAAAATACAAAATAAAGCTTTCTAAAATAAAGGTCTATCCTATATATAATAAAGGATGTATAGTCATTGTAGTGTTGTGTGAGTTTATTCAATTGTGGCTTAGTTAATAAACCCTGGTTAAGCAAAGTGTATGAACCTGGTGATGTGTACAAAAATGGTACAAGCTTTAAGAAAATGTTCACAAAAGGCAGGTGCATTTTTCATTAAAATTAAAGAGACTTATTTCAGGATACATATTTTTCTAAAAAAACAGGATGTGAACATCATGAATTCCTGTCTAGCCAATTAGGAATCATTAGCAGAATTATTAGAAACAAGTTGTGCCAGCTTGGAGGATTTCTTAAGTCAAACTCCAAGAAGCTCCTTATAAAACTTAGTAAGACCACACCTGGAATACTGTATCCAGTTTTGGTTAACACATTACAAAAAAGATGTTAAAACTTTGGAAAATGTGCAGAGAAGAGCAACTAAGATGATTAAAGACCTGGAGACTAAAGTATATGAAGAATGGTTGCAGGAATTGGGTATGGCTAGTCTAGAGAAAAAAAGGACTAGGGTAACATGATAGCAGTATCCCAGTATTTGAGGAGGTGCCACAAAGAAGAGGAAGTCAACTTATTTTCCAAAGCACCAGAAGGCAAGACAAACAATGGATGGAAACTAATCAAGGAGAGAAGCAACCTGCAATTAAGGAGAAACTTCCTAACAGTGAGAACAATTAACCAGTGGAACACCTTGCTTTGAGAAGTTGTGAGTGTTTCATCACGAGATTTTTAAGAAGAGACTGGATAGCCACTTGTCTGGAATCCTGTAGAGCAGTGGTTCTCAACCTTTTTAATGCCGCGACCTCCGACCAGTCGTAAGTCGAGGACTACTCAACCGGTCGTAAGTCGAGGACTATTCAACTGGTGCAGCACCGTTTGCAGAATGGGACTTTTGGCAGGCTCAGCAGGGCAGAGATAGCCTGGACAATTCCTATTGGCTTTTGAAAGCCAATAGAATTAGACTCTATTCAAGAGAGTCTATTCTATTGGTTTTCAAAAGCCAATAGAATAAAAGGGAGTAGCACCGCTAAGGAAAAGGGGGAAAAAAATGGCGGACTGCGTTGTTTGGCGACCCTCGTGAAATGGTCGTTCGACCCCAAATGGGGTCCCGACCCACAGGTTGAGAACCACTACTGTAGAGCAGGGGTTTTCAACCTTGGCAACTTTAAGACTTGTGGATTTCAACTCCCAGAATTCCTCAGCCAGCTGGAATTCTGGGAGTTGAAGTCCACAAGTCTTAAAGTTGCCAAGGTTGAGAACCCCTGCATAGAGTCTCTTGCTTGAGAAGAGGGTTGGACTAGAAAACCTCCAAGGACCCTTCCAGCTCTATTCTGATTGATTGAAAATCTTGGCATCAGCATTAGACCTGCAGTTTGTCATGAATAGTGCAAATGTTCACACTGTAATGGGCCCCAACACTTGGGATGTTTGTTCTTAGCTTCAAGAAGCTATGATGTCTGAGATTATTTCAAAATATAAGGTTCTGTAATTCCTTTACAATAAAAAGTAAATATAAGACAACAGCTTGTAGAACACAGACAGCAAGGAACAAGTGGATTCATTTGTCATGCTAAGCTATAATTTGGTTACACGTGGCTTATTGAATAAACCACAGTTGATGCAATTAAAATAACATTAGGGTAGCAAATGTGTTTTGTTTAATTTTGACTTAGTGTACTGTACAGAGATGGCTATTATTGCAAAGGTAACAACAGAAGGGGAGTTAAATTTTACAATGACAAATGCTTGTGTAGCAGACAATTATCTTCTGTTTCTGAATTGGTTGCTGTTACAACTTCACACCTCTTTAATGAGTTACAGGAAGGGAGGGCAAATTACCCCAACAACAGTCTTTTGAAATCTCTATTATGTTTTGTGCTATTCTGAGCATAATGGTGAATGTACAAAATGTTTTCAGGAACCCTGTCATGTTTTGTCTCTTCTGTAATTCTTCTAGTGAACAAATAAAAAAGATGTAATTGTGGTAAACATGTACTGAATTTTGAGGCTAACATAGATATGCATTTCCGTTGCTGAGAGAAAACTACAGCACTTATATAGTAATAGAAGTGTCCTTTTTCTATTATGCAACCAATTGCCCAGAATATTACCTCTGAGTGACATAAGCAGGGCTTTTTTTGTTATAGAACACCCAGAACGGAGTTCCGGCACCTTTTTGGGATGGAACCTTGTAGGGTAGGCAAGGCGGGTTGTATGA